AACCACAGAGCCCTGCTGGTGTTCCCTGTTCCACTAACAAGCTTATTTCCTGAACCTCTCAGTCAGTCCTCTTAGTCCCAAGGATCATACAACTTTTCCTTTTTTAATACACAACCCTTTTGTTCCCTCAAACATCTAATTAATCATGTAACATGAGGACATGAGTACCCACTTATTTTGACATGGTTGTCAAACATTTACGGGAACTGYGTGACTTTTGTTCCCGCCAAAGCAAGAACGCACGAAGAGGCACATCTTCCTCGTACACTTAACTGTAAATACTGTCAGAGCAGCATCCTAATTATTTCTGCAWTGATATGATGTACCAGTTAAGGTCATGGAGATAATACAGGCATCATCTAATCTTGTTTGATCTAATCAAAACTAATGTAATATCACATAATATAATCACTCCCCCCCMCACACACATACACACCAAAACAAAGCAGTGACACAGACTCAGTGTTCTAATTTCTCYGCAAATGCAATGGAAATTACATTCAGACTGGACATTAGCAGATGTTAGCACAGCTTTATAAACACAGTGAAGCATCCTCCTCCTGTACAGAGAAAGTTACTCTCGTTTTTAAGACGTACACACATTTCTCATGTCAGTAATGATCAGCAGAGTTTCACCACTCAAATTAAAACAACTCAGTTTATGAACTCAGAGTTTGTTGAACATCCTTTCTCCCACATGACAATTGGGTAGAGGAACAAGGGACCACTAACACTGGGAGGTGTGATTACCGAATGGGAGCAGGTGTGTAGATGGCGAGTAACAGGTGTGACGGGGGGAGCAATCAAGGGATTAGGAAAAACAACTAGGAAGGCAGATTGAGCAGCTATAACAATCAGATAAATGCACTAAAACATACAGAAAAAACAGCTATCAAATAAATGCAAACCAGAAAAGCAAACCAGCAAACAAAAAAGTCACAAGGTTGTGACAGTCTGCCTGTGGGATTAGTCTCATAGACTCTATGGAGAATGTGAATAATTCCTCAGATTTTGTGTTCAAATTTATTTTATTTTTTTTACAGTGAACCCTGAGCAGGTTAAATGTTTTAAATAACTGATTAAATCTAAAAGTAAAGTAGCTATTTCTTCAACACTTTTTATTGCAGGTCTTTTGGAGTAAATAACATTGCAAAATACACATTTTAAAAAGTCTAAATGGTGTTCCCGTGGCTATGAACTGCAGCTAGTTTCTACACATGGAAAAACTCATTTGAATTCTTCTTTTGGATCCTGTCTTGAGGCAAGGTTTTGTCATGTGCAATCCTCTGTCCTTGCCTTTTGATGCACCTGCTCCTCACACAGGCTTTGTTCACTCTGTACTCGTCAGTCAGAGCTGCCTTTTCAATGTCACTGAGACATATCAAAGCCTTTTCCATAAAAAAACAAACAAAAAAAAAACATGACATTACCAAGTGCCGCGGATGGTTTTCACATGCCTTACAGGGTCTCAGTTTTGAAAGGTTGACTTGCTTGGAGACCTCTGCCATTGAAAGTCAGTTTAATGTTTCTTTGTTTGTGATGTGTTTTTGAGAGGAAGTAAAAGTGAACAAGGGAATAGGAAGAAGAGATGAAGTAAGGAGSAGGTTATGCTACCTGCTTCTGTAAATGCTACACCAAGCAGAATCTGAGCTGTGATGGGAAGAGACACCTTTCTGAAGCAGTAACGGTCCTCATGAATCACACAGCTCTCGCTCCTCTCTCCTTCACTCTCCAAATCTTATTCTTGCTCTTCAGCTCCCCCTCTGGGACTGACTGTGTGCACTTCGCTCTCTCTCTCTCTCTCTCTCTCTCTCTCTCTCTCTCTCTCT